TTCCATAGTGATACTGCCTCAGAAACCCAAGGAGGGGTGGCTATGAATCGGGTCTGACTCGACGGCACATAACAACAACAACAACGATGAGAACTGGTGGCATAGCACCTAAGGCATTTGACTGCTAACCAGAAGGCTGGCGGTTCAAATCCACCAGCCACTCCCTGGAAGGAAGATTGGGCAATTTACTTCCATAGTGATACTGCCTCAGAAACCCAAGGAGGGGTCGCTATGAGTCACATCGACTCAATGGCAGTGAGTTTGGTTTTCTTTTTCTTTGGATGAGAGCCGGAACCCACAATCACATTTATTAGGCGCCTAATATGTGCTGCGTGCACCGTGCTCTGTGAGGAAAACTTTGAGGGTGTATTCCTGTATCCACTCCACGGACGGGGAGGCCGAGGTCAGGAGTTCTGGGGCCGGGACCTGGGCTGGGAGCACCCAGGCTGGGGTCTAAGGAAGGTCCCAAAGGTGGGCCAGAGGAGGGGGAAAGAGAGGACCCCCAGGGGAAGGAACGGCAGGCCGAGTCCAGCAAAGTGAGGTCCGTGTGAACACGGCTTCTTGTGCCCACAGCCCAGTGTCCTTGGTGACGGAGAGAGCCCTTCCTCTTCTAAGTGGGGAGGGAACGGCGATCACAGCTTCCACACGGCCACAGACAGACCCAGCCAGTCTCTGGAGTCCCTTCCGGCTGCGCTGGGCTCAGCTCCTCCGAGGCTCCCCTCCCCACCCCCTGGTTTGGCCCCAAGGTCTTGGACCATCTCCCATTGCATCCTCCTATGATTTTGGCATCTTATTCAGCCAAGAGTCCCTGCAGCCAATGCTAAGTGGTCATGTTTGTGTCTCTAAGGCCTACCCCAGGGCATCCAAGTGTCCAAGCTGCAGGGAGGGTGTAGACTGGCTGTGGGCCAAGTCTTGGCTGTGGGCTGTGGGAGGCATCTCGCAGCCTCACAGGGAGCAGTGGCCAAGCCACTGGGGCAGAGGGCATGACTCCGCCCCCACTGACTCTGTGCCCTACCAGCCCCTGCCATAGGTTGCAAAACCCTGATGGCTCTGTTGGCTCCTTCCCCAGCCGGTGAGAGGCTGAGAGGCAAGAGAGAAAGTGCCCACGTGGGACCATGCCCCAGACAGCGCTGGTCCCTGGAGCCCCGGCCAGCTCGCACAGGCTGGGGCCCTGGGTCTGCTTGGGGTTGGAGGCCACACCGGGGGCACTCCTGGAGCCCATTGGGCTAGGGCAGGGGTGAACTGTGGGCAGTGGGTGGGGGAGGGTGCTGGGCACGAGGCTGGCCATCTTGGGTGCTGTTGTGCAGGCTGGGAAGCTAAGTGGGGAGGGTCTTGGGGTGCTGGGTATGACCAAGGGGCTGGCACTGACCCCCACGGTCCTGGGAAGCCACAGACAGCCCCAGCAGGGCACTGACAACTGAGAATGGGAGGCATGTACTGGGGGCTGGGACAAGGGTGGGAGCAATGGAGGGCCCGTGGGAAGAAGACAGGTGGGCTGGCAGCTCAGACGATAGCCACAGGTGGGGCAGTGGAAGCCTTGACCATTACATGGGGATACAGGTGGACAAGACCACGAGGGAGGAGAGCAGGGAGCGCAGGATGGGTCTCGGGTGCAGGGCAGGGGCCCAGGCCCCCCAAACAGCAGAGGCTGGAGGCCTGGCAGCTGGGAGGAAAGTGTCCCTGGGGTATGCCCCTCCCTCATGCCCGTCTGTGATGCCCTGCCCTAGCTCAGTGTGAGCAAGTGCACGTGTGTGTGTGTCTGTGGGCTGTGTGTATGTAGTGATGCACGTATTTTGCTGCTTGTGTGCACTTGTACGTGCATGTGTGTGAGTGTTCACACGAGTGACTGTACTGGTCAGTGTGGGATGGTCTGTGACTGTAAGCAGGTGTGCGCCTGCACAAAGCTGTGTGTGTGTGTATGTGTGCAGTGTGTGAGGACACATGGATATGCATGTGTGCTTGTATGAGTGTGAGCAAGTGTATGCACACACGTGTACTTGAGTGGGTGTGTGGGAGGGCACGTGTGCACACGAGTGAATGAGAGTGGGCTCATGATGGTGAGTATACATGAATGTGTCAGTGAGTGAGCATGTGCATGCACACGTGTGAGCGTGGGAGATGGCGTGAGTGGACTGGATCCTAGCCTCTGGGGAGGCCAGTCTGGCTCCTTTCACCATGGCAACAGCGCAGGCCCTTCCCACCAGCAGGACAGCGTGACCTGGCAGGGCTGAGACTGCACTCACAGAATCCATTGCAGGGCAAGAGGGAGGTGGCTTGCGGGGCATTCCCCTTGTGTAGTACCCAACCTATGGCCCTCACCCATCCTTGGGAAACACGGCCCTGGTGGGAGGCACCCACACTCACACCTGCCTGAGCCCCAGGGCACGCTGGGGGTGACAGGGTGAGCAAACCCCCGGGCAGGCCCTCTGCACTGTGTCTGTGGTGGGCAGGATGAGGGACCGGGTGCCTTGGCCATGGAGGATGCCCTCTGCAGGAGGAGCCCTGGAGAGTACATCGGAACCCACAGCTACCCGTAGGGGGCCCACCCATCGGAGCCCAGAGCTATTTTTAAGACCAGGCCGGATGGGCCTTCTAGGAACCAGGAAAAAACAGGCAGGGATGGTTACCCTGCTGGGGCTTAGTGAGGAATGGGGACAGGCAGGGACAGGACTTGAGAAGTGGCCTGGGGTCCGCTGTCCAGGGACAGGCCCAGGGCGGGAGTCTGGCACACTTGTACGAGGAGGCAGGCAGGTGGGGGAGTCCCACAGAGCCTGCCAAGCGGCGATCAGGGCGCCTGCAGAACGGTAACAGGCTGAGGTGGGCAGCAGGACCCTCGTGCTGCACACTGCCCGAGTTCTGCCCCCTCAGCGTTATCTGGCGCTACAGGTGGCCCCCCACAGCGCCTGGTGACAGAAGGGGTGCCAGCCCCCACGTCAGGTCAGAAGGAAGCCAGGTGGAGGCCTGAATGGTGGATAGTCAGCCCCAGGCCGGGGGTGGGGGGTGGGGGGTGGGTCAGGGTCCATTTCGCTCTGATGGAGCTCAGTCAGTGCAGGAACACACACACACACACACACACACACACGTAAAATGCAGGAAATCTACCACACACAAGAAAGTCCTGGAGCAGGAAAGACCGCAGAAATCCTCCCACACTAGGGGCTCTGTCCGCACTTCCACAGCCCTCCGGAGGCCTCCACGGACCCCGTGTGGAGCCGGGATCGGGGGCCTGGCGAGCATGTGGCACTCCACGGCCAGGGGGGGAGGCCCCAGCACGCCTTACAGCGAGCAGAGGAGGGCTGCGAGGGCGCCTTACTCCTGTGAAGGGTGTAGCCCACGATTCTCACGGCTGGGAAGACGAGGTTTTTGCATCGATCCCCCTGTGACTTGCAGGTGGACACTGGGCTGGGCAAGGCCTGTGGGAGCTGACGGAGGGCTCCAAGCAGGAGAGGGTGAGGGAGTGTGGGGGTCCTGTCCGGGGACAGTGACAGTGGCAAGAGCACCAGTGGCCAGACTTGGAGATGTGGGTGCTGGCACTCCTTGCAAGGCAGGCCTAGAGAGACCAGCACCTTGGCCCCTGCCCGTTATGGGACCCGGTGTTGGAGACTGAGGCTGTCGGGGCTCAGCCAACAGGGATGCGGCCGCAGCTCACACCCAGTCCCCAGCGGCTCCCAGGTGGGTGCCCTTGGGCCCAGGTCGTCAGCTGGTGGGGAAGGAGCTACCCGGGTGCTCCTCGTGGCTTCAGGACAAGCAGCACAGTGGAGCGGCCCCAGCGGTTCAAGTCCAAGACCTGGACAACGTGGACGTGGCGTGGCCCAGGCAGCAGCCACGGGGGCCCTGGTGGAGGGGGAGCGCAGCTGGGCCTGGAAGACAGTCAGGACAATGCCAGGCCGGCCCTCCCGGACCCGGGACAGCTAGGTCGCCGAAGGGGCGGACGGCGTGCCGCCTGGTGCGGGGTTTGTCCTCTGCTCCGCGGGAGCTCAGTGTCACGGGCGCCGCCGGCGGGGACCCCGGGGGGGCGCGCCTCCCACGTGCGCGCCAGGAAGCCAGGAGGCGGTGACGCACACACCGCATTCGGGCGTGTAAGCGCGTGGTCCGGCAGACGGGGGCCGCTTCTCGGAACTCGCGCTCTTCCCGGGCACGCTCGCCGCGGTCCGCGCTCGTGCGCGCCCCAGGAACGGCCAGAGAGAGACGCGCGTCGTCGTGGGTACCGGCCAGGGCCGTTGACCTTCCCGGAGCGGGCACAGGGGGCGGGGTGGGGGCGTCCCCGAAGTCCCCGCCCATCCGCCCACGCCCTGTCCCACTACTGGCTGCGGCCGGGAAATTCTTTGAAGGCCCGTCTCCCATTGGCTGCTGTAGCCCTCCCTCCCCTTCCCCCCTCAGCGCTGACAAGGGCGCCCGCGCGTGCGCGATGCGTGTGAGCGCGCGGGCGGAGCTGAGTGAAGCTCGATGCGTCGACGCCGTGCGCCTCCGCGCCTCTTACTACAGAAAACGAGTTCCGGCTCTCCTCGCCTGCCTGCCTCCTGCCGCTCGCGCTTGCCCGCACTAGGGCGCGCGCGCGCGCGCGCCTGCCCCCGACCCTCTGTCTTCTTGGTGGCCGCGTGGTTCCTGGGGGCGGTGCCGGCGCGAGGCCTGGCGGAAGGGGGCGGGGCCTCTGTCGCCCCGCCCCCGCGGAGGGATATGCACCTCCGCGGCCCAAAAACCCCAGGGCGAGGCGGCGCCGGCGTGTGAGAGGTCTGCGCGGCGGGGCCTGCGCGTAGTCTGGCCACGCACTGAAAGCCCGCGCGGTCCCCGCCCGTCGCAGCCGAGCGCGCTGACCGCCCCGGGTCACAGGCCGGAGCTCCGCGGGCCAGCGCCCAGACGCCCCGCCGCCCCCCAGAGTCGCGCCGCCAGTTGCGCGCCGCGCGAGCTCTGGGAGGCCGCGCTCCTGCGTCCGCAGCGGGGAGCGGGCCGGGGCGGCAGGCGGCGGAGCCCGGAGACCGAGGGCCCGCATCCCCGCTGCCGCCCGCGATGCTGCTCTCCAAGTTCGGTTCCCTGGCGCACCTCTGCGGGCCCGGCGGCGTGGACCACCTCCCGGTGAAAATCTTGCAGCCAGGTAGGCGGGCGGGGCCGGAACCGGGGCGGACGCCGGCGGGAGGGCGCGCCCGCCTCGGGCCGCAGCCAACCCCACCTCTGTGTGCTCCGCAGCCAAGGCGGAGAAGGAGAGTTTCGAGAAGGTGTACCAGGTGGGCGCCGTGCTGGGCAGCGGCGGTTTCGGCACCGTCTACGCGGGCAGCCGCCTCGCCGACGGGCTCCCGGTGAGTCGGGCCGCCGGGCGGGCCGGGTTGGGCGCCGGCGCCACGCGCCACCCCGCACCGGCGCAGCCTGACGGCCCGCGTCCCCGTCCCCAGGTGGCCGTGAAGCACGTGGTGAAGGAGCGGGTGACGGAGTGGGGCAGCCTGGTGAGTGCGCCGGGCCGGGCCGGGCCGGGCGGGGGCGGCATTGTTTACATCCGGACGCGAGGCCGGGTGCGCTGACGCCGGTTCCCGCAGGGCGGCGCCGCCGTGCCCCTCGAGGTGGTGCTGCTGCGCAAGGTGGGCGCGGCGGGCGGCGCGCGCGGTGTCATCCGCCTGTTGGACTGGTTCGAGCGGCCCGACAGCTTCTTGCTGGTGTTCGAGCGACCCGAGCCGGCGCAGGACCTTTTCGACTTCATCACGGAGCGCGGCGCGCTCGACGAGGCGCTGGCGCGGCGCTTCTTCGCGCAGGTGCTGGCCGCCGTGCGCCACTGCCATGCCTGCGGGGTCGTGCACCGCGACATCAAGGACGAGAACCTGCTGGTGGATCTGCGCTCGGGCGAGCTCAAGCTCATCGATTTCGGCTCGGGCGCGCTACTCAAGGACACGGTCTACACCGACTTCGACGGTGAGCGCAGCGCGCGCGAGCCAGGCCGGCGGGTCAACTCCCGCGGGGGAGGGGCGCGGGCTGTGGGGGGACGCGCGCCAGAGGGCGCGGTAACGCGCCGCTTCGTGACGCGTGGGGGAGCAGGGGGCACGCGGACCGCTCCTCGCCCCACTCCGCCTGGGC